TTTTTTGTTTGTTTGTTTCTTTGTTTTTGTTTACTTGTTTGTCTTTTGTGTTTTGTTTTGATTTTTGGTAGGGGTGGTTTTTTTCTTTTAATCATTATCAGCTATTTTCACAGCATCTTATTTCTTTAACTGCAAGGATATAGAAATGGATATATTTTGTTATGGTTTATTCAATGTTTCTGAGAAAACAAACTGAATGTACTTTTCTCTTCTCTTCACAGCTTCTTGTTCTCCTGTTTCTTAATCAGGGAAATGACATGTGGTGGCTGTGATAGTCTAATTACTGGAATAAATTCATGATGAAGCTGTTACTCCATGCTGCAATTCACTGCCTTTGTCAGACACTATGGCAGCCTACATGATAGACTCCAAACCACAGGAAATTTCAGGCATCTGTATGTGTATCTAGGTATTTTCACTGCATGCTTCACTAAGGTAGCAGAGCACTTAGACTGAAGTAGCACTGCAAAGCTTAGTGATTCAGGCAATAAGCAGACAGCTTTCTGCTGATGCATGGAGAGGAAAAAACATTTTAACAAAGATAAAGTCTGAGAGTAGAATATAGGCTGGTATAGTGAACAATTGCTCTTGAAGCTATACGACTAAAATGTTACGAATACTGTTCGGGCATGTAAGTATAAAAGTGGTATATGAGAGTGTGACATTGTGACTCTTCACAGAATCACAGAATGTGTGGGGTTGGAAGGGCCCTCTGAAGATCATCTAGTCCAACCCCCTGCTGAGCAAGATCACCTAGAGCATGTTGCGCAGGATGGCATCCAGGCAGGTCTTGAATATCTCCACAACCTCTCTGGGCAACCTGTGACACAGTAAAGTGCCCCCTCATACTGAGCCAGAACCTCCTGTGCTATTTATTTGTGTGGCTGGACAAGCACCTGCTAATAAACATAGAGTATTGTTTAAAATTAGTTCACCCTACCTTTAAACAATTTTATAGATATGAACTCAACATTTGTTCTTTGATCTAATTAAAAAAAAAAAAAGGAAAAAAAAAGGAAAAAAAAAGGAAAAGGAAGAAAAGTCACTTTACATATAATGCTGTGGAAAGTTGGATGTCTGTCTTTAGTAACATATTCAAGAGCTAAAATCAATTGCAACTCAGCACTTCACTAAATCTTCTTAGCTGTAGTGATCCATGCTTATTCCACATGAATCAAAACATGATGGAAGAAGGAAGGAAGGAAGGAAGGAAGGAAGGAAGGAAGGAAGGAAGGAAGGAAGGCAGGGAGGGAGGGAGGGAGGGAGGGAGGGAGGAGGAAGGAAGGGAGGGAGGGAGGGAAGGAGGAAGGAAATGAGGGAGGGAGGGAGAGGACATGCTGAAGAGAGAAATATCTTCTGTAAGTGCAGCCTACAAGTTACCATTTGCCCCATCTTTTCTTCATGGGGACAATATTATTTTTGCATCAATTTAAAAAGCTACAAGGCATCTTTAATCTTGTTTCTAGATTAATTGTGGAGTGTTGTATTTGTTCTTGAATTTTGTGTTCTACCCTGAGAGTTCATTATTTGCCTTCTTTGACACCAGAACTCTGTGCTTTTAGTTTCCACTGAAATGAGTATCATAGAATTTACTGAAATGCAATTACAAGATTCTCGGTTTTATGGACCAAGACTGGCACCTTCTGGTGAGCCAGAAATTCACTGCATTAAATTCACTGCAGAAATAAATATCTTCAACCATTCTCTCACAGACTGTGCTTTCAACCAGTTATTATTTAGAGATATTCCAATTTGTTACATCCATTTTACACATTGACTTTAAACTTTACAAGTTATAATAAATCATGACATATGTGCATGAGTAGATTTACAAGTAGGCACATGAGCCTGGAAGTTTAACACTTAATTTATTAATTAATGGTCCTCAGTTTCAACAAATGATCACAAATAAATCAATATTTGTTACTAAGACTAGCAAGTTGGATAATGTAGTAGACTGATGAAAGATACTGAAAAGTATTTCAGTTTATGGAACAACAGAAATACAATGTAAGCTTGAAAAATACAGTTACTGAAAAACTACAATTTATTTCAATTTTTTTTACCATTATGCTCTATAACAGTACAGACACATTTACAGAAGCTGGATTGCTGGTTATTTTTACAAGCAGGGGATGACAAAGAAGATATTTTACATGCATTTAGGATTTGTTTATTTGAATTACTGCCATGATTAGAATGCTTCTGTCACAGGTTATCAGCTGCCAGCAGATACTGAGATAAACCTCAGTATTTTGCTGTGCACACCAGAATAACCCATTAAGTATCTATGACAGCACACAGAAACTCTTCTGTGGAGTTATTCAGATAGATTTATTATTATTATTATTTATTATTTAATGTTAAAGTTATAAATACGAGGGAGAGAATAAACATTTCTTGTTTTGTGGTCAGACATTTTAGCTTTTTGTGTTCAGTAGCCATTGAAAATGGGAGCAGAACATAGTCTCCTTGAAAAGTTGCCCTGGTTGTCTACAGAAGCAGCTTTCTAACATTTCAGGCAGAGATTGATTTATGCCCTCTAATCCACCCCTACTGCACTATGCTATAGGCAGAAGATGGCTTGCATTACAAATAGAAAGTGTCTGTAGAATGTTTAAAGGATCCTGAGGTATACCTGATTCATTCCCTGATACTTATTGTGGTATTGATACTACTCCATGATCTAGTATGCTGCAAAAGTTGTATGGGCTTTTTCCATTCATTAATTTGCTCATCAAAATTAAGATTTTTTTTTTTTTTTTTATCATAGATAAATTTCAATTTCTTCCTTCCCCTAAGCAGTAGAATCAGCCACTCATCTTAAAGGTGATTTCAATTAACCCAGTTATAAAAACTTAAGTTATTCTCCAAAAACATTTTATTTTTATCTTACTTTACTGCCAGTTTCATCATTGTTTTTCATCATTGTTTTTAAGACTTCTGAGAATTACTTGTACAATATAAGAGGTTAGCAAGTATACCAGCTTCTTTCACATAACTCAAGGAACAGTCATCTCTTGGCAATTATATTTGATGACTACAGACCCAATTAATCAGTCTAAATGGTTCCATGTCCAGTCTTCCTATCCCTTGCATCACCCAGTCTCATCAGATTTCTGTTGAATTGCATCCCACGCTCATTCCTACTACCTCTCCTTCCTGCTATGCCTGCTTTCCACATCTATTCCTAACCATGTCAGAACAGAGAGATAAAGAAGACAGTATACTAATTTGTAGTTTTTCCATCTCATTCAGACAATACCTGGCAGGAGGCCATTCACATTGAGAATAAGGCAACTTTCTGTCCTTGAAATAACAGCATAAAAGCTGCCAACCAATTGTGTTTGATGGGACATTATCACTGGATAAATTGTTTTCCTACAGCAACACAATTCACTTTTAGGATTTACTGCAGATAAGTATAATGGGAAGGTTGTGACAGTAATAGGGAAGAAGAGTATGATAGTATTAATTTGAAATATTTTTGTTTTGTCAACATAAGAATACTTGATGGAGATCATTCCTTTGGGTATGCAGTGTATTTCAATATTAAGAACTCTAGTAAAATCAAGCCATGCTTCTAGAGGTGATTAGCTAGGAGACACAGTTTTACCTGTCCTCTTCTGCATCATTGTCTTCACTTTTTACTATTGCTCTCAAAAACTTACAAGCAGCTACATTTATACTGTCTAAGAGTACACAAAAATTACCATAGCATGCCATCATGACAGCATTCAGTATTTGTGTTTCCTTTTCAATTATTATGGACCCATCATTATAAACAAGACATCAAGCATTTTATTCTGAAAATAAGAATCACATCTTTTTTATGTCTTATTTATGTACATCTTTTTATGTCTTATTAGGAGAACCTTTAGAGCTTAAAATAAATATCTGCAGAAGGGTTTAATGTTGTTAGGAGGTGAAATAATGATGAGTGATAAGCTTTGTTTGTTACCTAGACACTGCTCAAGAGCCTAGTGCCATAATTGCCTGCAGCAAGAAAAAACACGTTTGTCTCTATCTCTTCAAGCAACAGTGAAAAATAGTCACAGACAAGTCGCTAAGTATTTTTCATAACCATTTAACATCTGCTTTCATACATGACAAAGGTTTTAACATTCATTAGAAGGGGTAAGTAGGGTGTCACAGGATCACGCAGAATCACAGAATGGTTGAATCTGGAAGGGACCTCTGGAGACATCTGTCCCTGCTCAAGTCAGGACACCCAGAGCCAATTGCCCAGGACCACATGCAGATGATGTTCTGAAGAGGAATGTCTGTTTTGACTGTTTCAGCCAGTTAACAGACATGCCCTAACATTCTGGCTACAATGTAGTTCATCAATTATTTTTGAAAATACTAAAAGATATAGAAGTTGCTCCAGATGTTTCCCCCTTAATTCTTCAGCCTCACGGGACATGTCAATGCCCACTCTCCATGCAACTGTTCTAGATATCTCAGTGACAGAAAGAAAGAGAAGGAAGGAAGGAAGGAAGGAAGGAAGGAAGGAAGGAAGGAAGGAAGGAAGGAAGGAAGGAAGGAAGGAAGGAAGGAAGGAAGGAAGGAAGGGAGGAGGAGGGAGGGAGGGAGGGAGGGAGGGAGGGAGGAGGAGGAAGGAAGGAAGGAAGGAAGGAAGGAAGGAAGGAAGGAAGGAAGGAAGGGAGGGAGGGAGGAGGAGGGAGGAAAGGAAAGGAAAGGAAGGAAAGAAAGGAAAGGAAAGGAAAAGGAAAGGAAAGGAAAGGAAAGGAAAGGAAAGGAAAGGAAAGGAAAAAGGAAAGGAAAGGAAAGGAAAGGAAAGGAAAGGAAAGGAAAGGAAAGGAAAGGAAAGGAAAGGAAAGGAAAAGGAAAGGAAAGGAAAGGAAAGGAAAGGAAAAAAGGAAAGGAAAGGAAAGGAAAGGAAGGAAAGGAAAGGAAAGGAAAGGAAAGGAAAGGAAAGGAAAGGAAAGGAAAGGAAAGGAAAGGAAAGGAAAGGAAAAAAAGAAGAAGAAAAAAAAAAGAGTGATGAGGAGCAAAATGGAGCAGAAGAGACTTTCTGTTGTGAATTTTAATGCTATATAAGCATTAGCAGCCCTGAAGACTACAGCTCTCTGTCTGCAAAACAAATATAGTACAGGCAGGAGTAGCATATGTTTTTTACATGTTTCCTTAGAGACTAAACATACTGGAGAGTGCTGTCATTAAGTGAGGCAACAAGTGCTAGTGAATAGGACATGGGACTGCAAGACCTGACACTGATCCTCACTTGATATAAATTACTGTATTTGTTTTATACCTCTGCTGTCTCTGTGGGACCAGAACAATTTACCATTGTTGAAAACTGATCCAAGAGACCTAAGTTTGTTCCTGACAATACTTTTGAACTGCTGTATGTGAATTTGGATATTTCAGCTTTCAATCTAAAATAAGGACACTGCTTTGTAAAATATGAAAATATATAAAAGGAACTGTGTGAGAAAGACATCATCATTGCTATTTGAAGTAAAACCATTCGAGTCCTAACAAAGGATATCTGCCATTTTTGTTACCATGGAAAACTTAGAGCTACAAAGTGAGCTCATATGTGTTCTCCTCACCTGAGCCTAATGGATGCTCAGTGAAAGCTGGGGGAACTGGCCATGCCCTGACACTCCTTTCTCCATTCATATTGCTTTCTTTTCCTGTCCAGGCCTCAAGTGTATCATAAAGTTTTGGCATGTATTTTGCAGGATGTTAATGGGGAGTCTGGAGCAGAGGCTTTGTGCATTTTCATAAAATAAAGTCTGTTTTTATTTTATTTTTTTCAATTGTGGGAATTGGACTAGATTTGGACTAGAGTAGAATAGATGGCTCAGCTAGTTCTTCTCCAAAGTCATGCTTTTATTTTTCAAAATACATATTTATGACTCATATGCATTGCACATGACAGCACTGTGACTGTTGTGGAAATCATGTGAAAAACAAAACAAAACAAAACACAAAAACATTTAAATGGTTGTGGTAAAGATTTTCATAAACCCTGAGTTATTTTTCATATATTCTATTTCCCAAAAAACATGTAAGGAATGTCTGCCTCAGTGGACAGGCAAGGGTAGATGTGTACATGACGATGTGTAGAAAGAGAAGTAATAAATAACTACTAAAATCTTAATACAACCGCCTTAGTTCAAAGAACAGATTCTGTGAGTAGACTCTGATCAGCTTGTTTTAGGCAGGCAATTTTGCAGACTGACACAGAACAGTCACTTATGTATGCCAGTGTAATTTAGAATACAAACATGAATTATGTAACTCTTAACCCATTCAATCTATATTTTTACAAGTCTTCTCTCTGTTGTAAATACACCAGTATTTTGTCCACTTTTATTTAAATTTTCCTAGCAACAGAACATCTATTGCTTCTTTTGTGAAATCATTCCCATGGATAATAAATCTCCCCTTTGATTATTCAGTCAATTTTTTTCTTTTCATAATTTGATCCCTATGCTCCTTTTTACAACTCTTTTTATTATGCTATAAAACTTTGCTGTGCTCCTGGTTGACTTCATACTTTAGTGATAGACTAGTAGTGTATGCCCTGTTAGCTACTTTTCAGCCATGTTATAGGACTTTGACTTTCTTGTAAACTAGCCCCTCAGTTATTATTTTTACCCGTCACTAAACATTCTTGTGTCCATCTGTATATTATGTTAACTAGGTGCCTAGAAATGTGTTATATAAAAATAAACATTTTTAATACGTTCTGTTAATATTTCTATTCCTGTAAAAGCTGCTCTTTCTTGGACTGATAACTAATTTGATGGTTTGTATTTCTTCAGGACCTTTCCTGACATTACCATTCCTAGGTATCTCCTCCCTATATCCTGGATTCTGTTTTCTCCCAGAGCTTATAACTTGATCCTGTTTCTAATGCTTCCATACGTTCCTTCCCTTAGCATTTTCTGCTGTTATTGATGACTACATTGCTAAGCACTGTAATAAAATCTCTACACCTACACTTTTTCTTTTTTTTTTTTTTTAATCTCTATTTGCTGCCTTTGTTTCATTAATGAAATATCTTCTACCACTCCTTCAGTGGTCCCTGTGTTCTCTATTTGGAAAATTCTGTAGTGTGATTTTATAGTATGTATCCCATAGAAGTCCACCTATATAAGTTAAATTGATTTTTTCTATGATAGCAAGCTCTACTATTATTGCACTACTTTTCTTTAATACGATTTCTTTTTAATTCTATATTTTAAAAAGCCAAGCACAATTTTTATCCAGATGTTTTCTTTAAAATGCATGTTATTTATTGAAGGCAAACATGTTACTTTCCAGGAGCTATAAAGTGTGAGCCTTCTGTTGGGAGAGAGGTAACACTTCTTGGGATGCCAGCAGGCAAACACATGTGCTATATCCAGATTCTTTTGGTACAAAGGATTCCTTCCTCGGAACATGTCTGATAAGAAAAAGAAAAAAGAGGTCAAGGAGGAAGCAGACATCACATCTTCACTGTGTACCAGTCTATAACACTGTACAATGTCAAGGATCCAAAGACTTCATAACCTGAATACAAGGAGATCCATTATGTCCCCATGGGGATTTCCAGAGGGAATTACACCCTCCCAATGCCTCTGAGAACTCCACCGGGAAATATGGAAATATTTCAGTTTGACCTCCAAGGAAAAGGTCTGTTATTCTCAAATGTGTCATCAGTAGCTGTCATTCAGGTAAGATCCTCCTTGTATCCAAAACGAAAATCTGAATCTATTTGGAAATCTGAATTTCTAACTTTCTTTTCATTCTCAATACATATATATACACATTTATATACATACATATATATATATATATATATATATATATATAATAGGTATCAGCCTCCATTTCTTTATTTTTAAACATGTAATAGCCTTGGTTTTGCAACTTTTTCTTTTTTCTTTCTTTTTTTTTTTTTTTTAATAGAATATGCAGTATGGACATGAGACATTTATTTCAAAGTCTTATGATTCACTGGTTATTTACAAGAAGTTTCTGAATTCATAATGTCACTCTGAAAGTATTTGAAATATGAGTCTTTACTGTTAGCAAGGCAAGAAATATATACTGTATCTGGATATGAAGTTGTTAATTTGTCAGGACTTTAATACTCTTTACCTCATATGTAAATGAACATATTAGGCACAAGGACCAAGATGTATGCCAGTAGCCAGGGGTATTTATTTTAATTCATTCAATCATCCTTCATCTAGAAATTTGGCTGATTTATATAACATGGGATGATTTTCAAAAATTCTTGATTATAAAGACATTCTTGATTATAAGGAAAGTTGTTAAGGGTTCTCTGGGAGTTGTGATTCTGAATAAAACACAATGATATGCAGGTTATTTAAAAGCATTACTTGTAAATATTGAAGCTTTCATGTCAAAAGCTGAAGCTAAAAATACATTCATACTTAAACTTTGCTTTTGGCGGGAGCTGAAGTGCAGGAAGTCTGTCATTACTTAGTCATTCACCCTTAGGAGCAATCAAAGAACAAGGTAAGCTAAAATGACTAACAGGAACAATGGCACAATTGAAAGCCAAGTAAATATAACAAGAGCATTGACTGTTAATAATTATTGTTTGTTTGTTTGTTTGTTTCTGTAATTGATATGCTATGGAATAATAAAAGCATAATCCATAGTTGTCTATTGCAGAAGGAAGAGCTGAAAGACAAAAATTGAATTGCATAGCAATACCTGTATGTCAGATCATCTTCTAGCTTACATAGTTGGTCTGAATTTATGGGTAGAGTTGGGCATTTTTACACAACTTAGATTTTCAAGACTGTTTTGATTTAAAGAGGTTATGAAAACAATGCCCACAGCATCTGGAATCTGGAACAGTTGAGCTAAAACAAGGACAGTGAGCACTGTGAATCACTAAGTGCCAACATGTGATCTCATAATTAATATTGTCTATATGAGGCCACCTGCCTATTGTCAGCTGCAGAACCCATCCCTCATTCAGTGCCTCCGAAAGTGAGCACATCCTCTGCTGGATGAGTCATCGTGACTTCATGGAAGTGAGTGAAGCCATGGCAGTCAATACCAGATACGTATTACTCCAATCAAAATACTCCCCTTCTTACTGCAATGGGATTTGGATCAATACCAGAGTTAATAAGTGAGCACATTATACTTGGAGCCAAAATTAGAAAGAAATCTTATAATTAAAGCCATGTATTTGATCATAAGTGCATTAGAATTCATTGTCAATAATGGTAATAGACCTAACGAGCACACGTCTTACTTCACATTAATAGAGATGCAGGTTACTTGCTGCTATTTGTAAGTAGTTGCTGATTGATTTCCAGGTCAAAAATGGAAAGGAAGGTGGAGGGGTGGGGTGTTACTTACTCCAGAGATTTCAGAATCAAATTAAACTGAAATTTAGGTTAACTCTAACATTTATTTATTTATTTATTTACTTACTTATTTTAAAGAAAGAATGGCCCAAGTACTTAAGAAAACCTAGCAACTGATTTACCAGTGCAATCACTCTGCTTTTTTGCTATGGTAGTGCTCTACTTCCCAGTCCTTTAGTAGGAAGTAGAAATGTAGCCTACAGCTATCTGCAACAGAGTCAGTCACTTCAATTTAACTTTAAAAAAATCTGGCTGGCAGACAGGGAGCTGGTCTCCACAATGGTGATTTTACAACAAAGCACGTGTGTCAGGTAAAATTATATCTGGCAACTAGATTTCTACCACATTATTCATCCAGCCAGACAAATAGAAATATTTCTACAGTCCATTCATTAGAGGCTATTCATTTGCAATTCACAGTAATTTTTCATCTGTTTCGTGTAGTTTACAGCATTCTGCTACACACTGTGATAGAAACCTACTCCTGTGCTTTTAATTTCAAATTTCCCATTAAGAAACATTTGCTCTTATTATCTCTTTGTTAAAGGGAGTCTGTTAAGGTTATTGTAGATATTATTCCAAACTACAAGAATGCCATCTGATAGAACTGAACCCCTTGATCACTTGTCTCATTCCCTTAAAAATCTGTGCCTGGGTGGTCAAGCTGTGCCTCATAAGCTCAGTCATAAACAGGTCCACAGCAACTTCTATCAAATGAGATAGCAGCTTGCTTTGCAGAGCACTGAAAGATCTCACTGGAGACAACAGAATGTACAAAATTAATGAAAGCAAATGCATTTAGCAGATAATATGTACATTCTCAACCCACAGTGAGATTCATCTTATCAAATTTAGCAATCTAAGATTGTACACTGAAATCTAAGATGGTGGTCTAGAGTCCCTTTACAGTCACTAAAGAGAAACAAAAGTCTCACTAAAAAGAAATAGGTATGCCTACCTCGAATCATCCTAGAAGATTGCTGGAAATGCCATTTAATTCCCCATGCTAGGTGTTTTCTTATGGTTGGAGTAGTTAATTAACTTCTTATGGGAAGTTAATTGGTGTCCTTGGTGAGCAGACATCTGCAGCAGCACCTGAAAATAAGTTATTCAGGAAGAAGTTAGAGGAAAAAAAAAAATGTGAGGGGTTTATGAAGTGTTAGGGGAGGAAAAGTTAAGATATAGGAAACACTGGGAACAGGAACATGTAATTACTGTGCTGGGGTAGAAATCTAAAGCCAAAAAAAAAAAAAAAAGAGATCTATAAAGAACTGGATTGTGTTTGTTCTGCTGCTCAGGGAACAGCAAACATCAAAATGGCCTCAACATAGATTTCCCCTGAACCTTCGAACAGTTCCTTTGAATAATAGGCCCTTTATAGATTTCATAGAATCAAATTCTTTCAGTAGTACAATATAATACACCAACCTTTCAATATTTGGCATGGCACTGACTTTCATGAAACCGAGCTGTCTAAAGCCCTGCAGCAACGCTGAATCAATGGCAAAGACTCTTAGTGAAGAAAGCAGACACAGCTGCCCCTATTGACACTCTCAGCTTTTGCCACCACCATTTCAGGTCTCTTTGTCCTCATAACATGCACTGGGTCACATGCTGCTGGGTCACCTCTGCTGGGTTAATCATCTCCTTTTACCTTTCTCCTATTTGTATACACCTTCAAAAGACTGTGCCAGAGGAACTGAAGACCTATGACCTGGTCAACAACTGGAAAAAATAATAAAAAAAAAAAAATCACAGTTTTCCCAACAAGAAGTTTTCCAAGCAGCAATAAAGAAGAAACAGCAAAAAGATCTGGCATAACCTGGCTACATAAACACTAGCAAGCAAATCTCATGCAAACAAAACAAACAAAAAAAGCTGTATACAACTGGGGAACAGGAACTTGGGCCACAACCATAGTTAGCACAGCTGTTCCTATATGTATCATGCTACAGAACTCTGGTGCTGGAGGTGGAGCTCCTCATGCTGATGCTAGGCTTGAGGGATTTTATTGTGCAGGCAGGTTCAGGACATATAGTCACAGGGCATCCTGTCATGGCCATGGCTCTCTACTATAGACTTTGAGGATTCCCTGTGTTTTAGCAATCTACTCCAAAGTGGTATTCATGATATAGTTGATGAGAGTCCTCTCAGAAGAAAAAAATATAATCTGCCTTTTTATATAGCAGGTATTCTGGACAGTTCTTATCCCATGCGAATTAGAGTATTCTACAGAATAGTACAAAGTACATGTAACTGCTGTGTCATCGCAAACATTAATCCCTTTGCCAGGACCACACATGAACACAAAGACAAGAAAAGACAAGTGTGAGCGCTGGACCTGAGCACCTGCATACATACACACTGTTGTTAACTACTTTTATTTATACACTATTCTGCTTGGGCCATAAAGCACCAAGCAAATGAGCAAATGAGTTAAGCCTATGAGTTTGAGCAAGGTATGTACTAGGGAAGCATGTGTCACTGAGTTGCAAGTGGCTGTGGGATAGCTTTTCTGCCATGGTGTGTATCTATTTTTCAAGACAGACACAGCATAAGTGACCTGACACTTGATCAGTTTAAACATGAGCTTGTGGCACCACTTGACCTGACAACTACAGAACACCCTTTAGGATAATTATCAAAGACAATTATCACAGAAGCAGTCTCAGAACACCACAGGAGCATTCCTGTTCCCATCAGTAGTACATCACTTTTTATATTTTTTGCATGAAAAGTTCTCTCCCTTGTTTAATTCACTGCTACCTCCCAGTCTTTCCAGACATCCCTGTCACAATTTTTTCAAATTAGCTCTATTTCTGTCTGCCATATTTCCTTTCTTTTCTTTCCCATCAATGGTCAGTCTCTTTTTTCCTTTTTTTTCTTCCTTTTTTTTTTCCCTCTATCTAAATTTCGCTTTTTATTTCCCCATTCCACCATTCACTTAGCCAAAAAGACTCAAGGAACATGACAATGACTAATATGACATTAGTATGATTACTGTTTACTGCTTTGTTATATTTTATGTCATAGAACCATAAAATCACAGAATATCCCAAGTTGGAAGTGACCCACAAGGATCATGGAGTCCAACTCCTGGCTCCACACAGGACCACACAAAAATCAGACTATATGTCTGAAAGCATTGTCCAAAAGCTTCCTGAACTCCAGCAGGCTCAATCACTTCCCAGAGGAGCTTATTCCACTGCTCAACCACCTTCTTGTTGAAGACTTTTTTCCTAATATCCAGCATGAACCTCCCCTGTCCCCTGTCTGCACGCCATTCCCTCAGGTCCTGTCACTGTCCCCAGAGAGCAGAGCTCAGCACCTCTGCTCCCCTCATGAGGAAGCTGCAGGACACCATGAGGCCTCCCTTCAGTCTCTTCTCTAGGCTTAAGAAACCCAGCTCCTCATACATCTTCCCCTCCAGACCTTTCATCATCTTCATAGCCATCTTTTGGACACTCTCTAGTAGTTTTATATTCTTCTTAAATTGTGGCACCCAAAACTGCACACAGTACTTGAGGTGAAGCCACACCAGTGCAAGGAGAGTGGGACAATGATTTCCCTCAGCTGGTCAGCAATGCCATGCTTGATGCACCCTAGGACGCAGTTGCTTGCTGAGGCATACTGTTGATTATTCAATCTGCTGTCAACCAAAAACCCCTCATTCTTTTCCACAGGGCTGCTCTCCAGCCTCTTGTCCCACACACATACAGCCAAGGTTGTCCCATCCCAGGTGTGGAATCTGGTACTTGTTAAGCTTCATGCGGTTGATGATTGCCTAGCCCTCTAATTAGTCAAGATCTCTCTGCAAGGCCTTTCTACCCTCAAGAAAGTCAACAGCTCCTCACAGTCTAGTATAATCTGCAATCTTCCTCTGACTTTGTCTCAGTTTTAGATTATAAACTCTTGGGACAGGAACTGTCATAGTTTTAACTTTTCATAGTGCTTGCTTTAGTGGAAACTTGTTCTCCATTTTCCTTACATGGTGAAATTTTTGAACAGTAAATAACATTATTGGGAAGATTAGGTCTAAAAAAATAAGGCAGAAAACCTACAGGCCAATGGGAAATGCAGGTTCAGTTCTCTAGTCTACCATAGACATTGTGTGAGCAAGCTACAAAGGCTGGAAAAGTACTCATATCAATCATTTCTCAAACTCTGGAGAGCAACATACTGAGAAAACTGTCCTTAAGACTGTCATCATAGAAAACCAAAAGAGATCGCTATCCCACAGTATGGAATTAATTTGAATAACTTAGGGGAAAGAAGTGTGAGACTTTGAAAATGGAGAAAGCAACATTTAAATCTACCCACTATTCAGTAAGTTACTAGTGGAAGAAATGGAAGCCTTGAGCTGCAAGGCTTTAGGAAGGCAGGTAGGTTGGTGAGTTCAGAAAAAATTGTGAGCACGTTGGTTCAATTAACATCAGCAGATGTCTACTGACACAGGAAATTAATGCAACCAAGACAAAGGTTACAAATACTAGCTGAAGGACATATCTGGCATCAGTTCTTTAAGTCATTTGATTTCAAAAACAGACTACTTTGTCTCTGGCTCTTCACCAGTAAGAAACAAGAAATGGCAAGGAATCAACAGTACTGCAAGTGTTGCAAACTGTACTAATGATTCGTGGCCAGATGTCTTCAGTGGAAGGAAGCAGGAAAATGACAACTCTCCCACTGTCATTTATGCTTACTCTAAACTTTTCATGCAGTTACTGATTGAAAGCCATGAGTTTTTATAACCAGTATAAACTACAAAGATCCAAACCCGGTGTAGATAGCTCACTATAAGTATGGATAATCCACAGAATTTCATTTGTTACAGTGATTTTATTGTGAACAGAAGATGAGCACAGCCCATTCAAAATCTAGAGCAAAATTATCGTGTAAAATCAGCTCATTCCATCTGGACAAAATTTTATACTTCCTTTAGACAGGTGCTGGTTTAGGTTTATTTAAGAGCTTTGTACCTAACTAGATATCTTGTTATAAAGTGTGAATTATATACATTATTCTAAAACCTATGGGAAACCTTCTTCAGTGTTTTCTTTATATTGGCTCTGTATAATGCTTACAAATAATTAAATTATGTGCTGTCAAGAAGTGCTCCAATAAAAGATGGTCTAGTTATAAATAAGTCTTATGCTGATACAAAATGTCATACCAACCAGATAAACAAATCTTTTGTAAAGTTCAAAAGTCAGTCAGTTCCATATTAGAAGTGAATAACTTTTTTTTTAATACCCGTAGAAAGTTATATGCTTTCCAAAGATAAACAAATACTAGTCAAATTTTTGTAGAAGATTATAATTCTACAAAATCAAAACATTTCATAGAAATTACTTCTTTTTTCCAGCATCTCCGATAGGAAATAATAAAATTTTCATTTAGGATCCTATTTTTTTCTTTATTAACAGTATTTTTCATCTTGTTTTTCTGAGATATAGAAAATTATATTAGAAAAATATAAGACATCACAAAATACCCCAACAAATTAGTACTATAAAATTCAAAGGAAATGTTCTGGAATATTTTGTTCTATTTTTGATTAAATACTTTGAAAGTCTAGCAATTCCCCTAGAAATGTACTTTTAAATATATACATATATACACACTATCTAAATGTATATCTATTTGCATTGCTGCCATTTGTTTTCTTCCAGAATACATCCTTGTTTACATGATGACTTAAGAGCCTTACTTTTGACAGATATTAGTCAAATGCCAACCTTTGATGTAAGTACAAATAAAATGGTTTCACAACAATGAAATCAAGTAATCAGAATGCTGTGCATGATCGTATACACTATTGCAAGCTTTGCTATAGAACAGTTTGGTCACATAATTCATTATCATTTGACAATGACATTTTATTACTACTGTGCTGAAACATTTTCAACAGTGCATTTAACAGCGTTCTGACAAATAGTCAAGTACAACTCTTTTATTTTTATTTTTTTTTCTTCCCAGCTCTACCTCTATCTCAGTGATGCATTTAGAACCTGCTCTAAAGCCCAAAGTTAATCAAAGAGGCTATACTGACCTAAGTGCTTTTGTGGAATTGCTCTTAGAGGGGTACTATAAATACATATCTTGTAGGATTAGTGTGGGATAAATGTGAACTGGTGACAGAGAGTATTTTTACATTAGTTTTGATTGGAATGTTATTGGAGGGAGGGGGGTGTATTGCCACTGGCAAGGATGAAATTGATTAATATAATCTAATTATCAAATAGTTTTATGGCCCTTCATTTTTGAAGTAACATGTCAACACTGTGGATATTAGAACATGAGTGATTCCAAAGTATCTCTCTGAGTTAGCCAAGGAAGTATTTCAACAGAGGATGCTCTTGAAAACTTTCTGATTTAACATGAGAGCAATGCCAGAATTTGTTTTGTTTCTGTTGATGTGTATAAGCTGTAGTTTTGAAAGGCATATGTGGAGTTAGAAGCAGCAGGGATGTAATCACTGATGAGTGCAAGATGCCTGAGGCAAATAAGGGCTTCAGTGCCTGTCCTTCAGGGATAACTGAGGCAGAGGTGTAGGAATGTGCCTGAAGGCTGACAGGGAGAAGGTGAGAAGGAAAAGAGGTTTCTGAATACATGGACCTGGTATGTGAACACAAAACCTGTACCATGCACAAGGAAAAAGAACCAGTTAGCAACTTTTTGATGTCACATAACAGTGAAATTTGTTTCTATGCTAATTCAAGCATGATAAGCCTTGATTTGTCGGTATCCTAATTAGTTACACTGCTATAGCCATTGAAATGTTATCATGTTTACTTATTTCAAAATAATAATAATAATCGAGCCTGCTAATGCCATGAGTGCATGATTAAAACATGAGGGGAAGGCAGCAACCTAAAATGAAAATATGTAAGAAATACAGATATACTAGAGATGTCTGTTTCAGACATCTGAAAATACTTAATAAAATCTGAGTATTTCAGTGTTACAAACTCTCAATCCAACAGCTCTTTTCTGTACTAG